GAGAGAGAGAGAGAGAGAGAGAGAGAGAGAGAANAAAGAGGGAGAGAGAGATGGGGGAATGAGAGAAAATGAAACTTAAAACTTTTATAGCTTTTCCAATTTTTCTACTTTCCATACCTTTTAAATAATTTCATTGCAATCATTTCAACGATTAGTTATAAAATAAAAGTAATGAAATATTTTATTCTTTTAAGTAAATATATTTTAGAGAGATTTTTGAGTGTACGGTAATTTACTTTAAACTTAATTAAACAAATCATTATTAACAATATTCTGTTTGAAAGTTTTTTTTTCTTTTAATGAAAATTTTTTGATTTGATCAATTTGTATCAATGATATATTTAAAGTTTTCTTTTTTTTTTTGATTTAACTAATTTGGGTAAGTAATAATGGGTAAAGGATATTCAAACATTTCTTATGTTTTCTTTATTTTTTTTAAAATTTTGAAATTATTGCAGGAAAAGGTTGAAATTTATAAATATTTAATTATTCATTTAACTATTTCAGATAACATCCCTTAACTTTCAATTTAAGGTAAGTTAAAATGTCTAACTGAATTCGGACTAACTGAATGTTAAGAAGAAAAATAGAAAATCATAGATCAGATGCATTAATAGATCATTGTGGTTATTGATATTCTAAAAAATTTTAAAAATTTTCAATATGGATTTAATTCTATTTTTTTTTTTGAAATTTAAATTCCTAAACAATCACTTTTTTAGTATAGTAGTAGTTTTGTCTATGCATTTGAAGATGACATAAATTAATTGTCTCCATCTTTTCTTTTTTTTTTTTGCCGAAAATTTTAATGATGTTTAAAATTCATTTTCAGATAAGTGTGTATATTATCAAATCAAAATGTCTTATCTGACATTTGCCACTTTTACAATTCTTTTACAAATATCATTAATCAATGGTTTGGATTGCTTTACGGGACGTACAAATTACGGTTTAATGTATACACGATGTAGCCCAAATATCAATTATTGCGCCAAAATGACAACCATTGATTCAGGTTCATTTGCATATTTCCGATTAAATTTGATAAAGTTTTATTAAATTTGTTTCATTTTACTGTTACATACAAATTAATACTTGAATTAAAATTTCTTTTAATACTTGAATTAAAATTTCTTTTAATACTTGAATTAAAATTTCTTTTAGTACTTGAATTAAAATTTCTAAATATGATAATATTAATGCGTTATTATCTTAAATTCAATTTTAAATATTACCAAGATATGCTTAAAATTTTCATCATTGAATTTTGGAAAATGCTGCAATTTAATTTTAACAAAATTCTGCATTCACATAGATCTGCATAATTTGTATGAGCTACGTAATCCTGTATAAATTGAAATGATAACTTGTCATGTTGAAAAATAAATAAAAAAGAACTGAGAATAATCAAATGTTTGAAAAGTTTTAAAAAAAAGAAAAGAAAAAACAGAGTTAAAAAATAATCTTTCCTTTTCTTGCAGTGTATGGCCTTATCATTGATAAAAGATGTGATGTGGAAAATTTTTGTGATGTTAGTTGAAATTTTAAATTTATTTCAATAAGCATACCTTTGCATTACTTTCTTTTCACGCTTTTTCCCTTAAAATTTAATAAGTTTTTAAGGATAAAAATTTAATTTTTTTGTGAATAAAATTAAAATTAGGCTTAATATTTCAGTTGTTTTTGTTTCTTGGCCATTTTTTTTCTTCCTTTGGATTATTTCAGACTATTGGCTCACGTTGTTTGTATAATAGCCATGACGAAACGGAAATATGCTGTTGTAAATCGAATCTTTGCAATGGGTCTATATCATACTTCTATTATTGGATACCTTCTTTAATTATCACTCTTGCTATTGCAATCTTAAATTTATAATTAATTAATATCGGATATGAGTGCGAAATTTTCGTATACGTCAATAAATTGTTAATAATTGAAATAATTGGAAATCAAAAATTAACATTGATTTCGTATTCCCTTCTAGAAGTAATTAAAATTACAATTTTTAAATTCCAAATTTCAAAAACTTCATTTCTTTATCTGTTTGATTATATCATTTGGAATGTAATGCAAATTTTTCGAAAATTTCAACTTTTATATTGTTGTGCAATTTTATTTTAAGTTTCACAAGAATTTTCCATACTTAAATACACATCAGAATTGGAATTAGAAATGATTCCGTTCTTTTTTGTTCATTTTTTCTTGTAATATCCTTTTTTAATATTGTTTTTAATTTGTATTTAAATTTAAATTTATTGCATTAATAAATCGATTAATTATTATTTGCAAAATTTTCAATGATTTCTAAATTTTTTATTGTGAGAATGAATAAAAACTTTAGCAAACATCATAAATGACTAAAAGAAAATTTTTTTTTTCATATTACATACATTATTCATTCATTCGTTAGTATGACTAATTCATATTTATCAGTAAAGCGATATGATATGTTCGAAAGCAATCGTGCAATAGTTGAAAACTTATCAATAAAAAAATGAGGAAAAACTATCATTAAAATTGAATTGGTTTAAATTCCGAACGAAATTCATTCCTTGTTTATCAGTATTTCGATTTCAATTTTTCCTTAAATCCAATTTTCCACCAAAGTTATTTCAATAATGAATTAATACGTAGCATCATCATCACCGTAATTAGTTTTAGAATAATCAACATTTTTCAATAATGTTAGGTGCACTTTAATAATATTATAAGTAAAAGTACAAGTATTTTTATGCACGCCAGTAAGGTTACACGTAAAGCATGAATATTTATATTGCGTCAGTAAAGTACACGTAAACGTACGAATATTTGTATGTACACTAGTAAGGCTACACGTAAAGCAGAACATTTATATTACGTCAGTAAAGTACATGTAAACGTACGAATATTATACGTACGCTAGGAAGGTTACACGTAAAGCACGAATATTTATACGTCACATTTTCTTAAAATTTTTCAATGTATTTTATTAAACATTGATGATAATATCATTTTATCAATCATTTCTCGCCCATTTCTGTTTCAAAATAAAAAGAAAAAAGACAAAAAAGAAACAAACTAAGCTTTAAAATTTTGAAAATTTTCACCTTTCATCTATCGCTTTTTTTTCACATTTTACTAACATTTCTCTCATTAATTCATTTCAAAATATTTCAGATTAATCTAACAAATTTAAAATTTAATTGATTAATTCGCTTTAATCAACATTTGAACCTGAATTTGTAACTTGATTATTTTTTTTTTTTTTCATTTTAGCACTATTCTTAGTGTATAGCTTGACAAATGAAAATAAAACGAATGTTTGAAGCTCCTATCAGTATTATGTATTTTGCATTTGCTATGTTTTGTCACCTGTTCCAAAAAAGCACTTTCAGGAAATCACCAGAAGCATTATAATAGTTGACAACACGTCCTTTCACATCATTTTATCTCCCATTTATTCACATTTCAAACTAACTATTTTAATATTTAAAATTCAAGGAATTTTAATAATCATTTTTTACAATTAGCATAAACTAATTAAAACAAATTTCAAATTTAATATGAATATGTGTATCATTTATTAGCTAAATAAGATTAAATCAGTTAATATTATATTAGCTAACAATTAATGAATTATGCAAAGTATTAACATTATTGGTTTACTTAAAGTTATACCTTTTAAAATTGAAATGAATTTAAATTTTTTCTGTCACAATTTAGTCATAAAAATTAACTAGACATATTACAAAAGATATAGAATATGAAAATTTTTTAAAAAATAATCGGAATATAAAAATTGAAATATTTTCAGGTGCCCTTGAATCAAATACCAATAGGGGAAACTTTTCCCTATTGGCATCTGATTCAAGGACACCTGGAAAATTTTATTTATGCAAATATTTTGAACCGATCAACGAGTTTTCATGAAATTAATCATTTCATAATAATAATCGTTTACATCGCTTTTTTTCCTTTTTTTTTTTAGTAAATTATGCAAAAATCTATTGCCTGCACATTACCAATACTAACAATACTGGTAGTAGCAAGCGATGCATTAAAATGTTTCGTTGGACGACAATATTTTGGCGCTTGGGTAATGGTGGATCGTTTGCCGAAGTTTTATGTCCTGCAGCATCAAACTTTTGCATGAAAAGGCATTTTGCAATTCAGTGTAAGTTTGAAACTTAAATTAATATTAGATCAATAAACATATATTTGATTACAAATATATGCATCACGATGAATAACTAGAATTATTCGGTTATTTAGTATGATATTTCTTCCATGTATATGTTAGAATCTCATCTGAATCCGATTGGCATCAGAATTCACATGTAAGAATCTTTTAAAGGAAGTCCTTCATGCATAATTTAAAAAAGTCAAAACTATTGGTTTAAATTGATATTTATTTTAATTTATTTGAAAATGTTCCCAAAATTTGTAAATTTTTTACTGTTAAGATGTGAAATTTGTTGAGATTTGTCGATCAAACGATAATTTATTTCTGAAAATTATTATCGAATTAAATTAAATCTAATCGTCTCACTCTTATACAGTAATTGATGCAATGTATCAGATAATATTAGGGATAAAATGAGAGATATCTCGAAATGATATTATCATTAAGACTAACTGGTTTTAGTAAAAATTAAGAAAATTAAACTAATTAATTATTAAACAGAATACTTTGAAAAACTAAATATCATGAAGTTGCTCGAGAAAGGTTATACTTTGTGTTATATTGGATAACATAATTTAATATTTAAAAACGAAAAAATATTATTTCAATAGGAATATTTCATCAGTAATTTCTATTTCCCATAATTCGTTTTTTCCAATATTTTCTTTCTTTTTTTTTTGAAAAAAAAAAGAGAATTAAAAATTGTTTTGCAGACAACGAAGATATCATTGAGAAAACATGTGGTCAAAACTCGCAATGTTACGTGAGCTTATTGTTTCAAACTTTTAAATTTGTTATTAATTATGTTACTTTTAAATTCGCCATTAATTAATGATGTTGATAATGACAACAACAATAATAATTTCATTACATTCATTACATTATAATAATGTAGTGAACAGATTATACTCGCAATAATAATGATTAACAATAATAATAATTGTAATGATAACAATAGTAATGATCATAATAATCATAGTGATAATAATAGTGACAATAATAATAATGATTGTAGTGTCATTTTCAAATATTATCATAATAATAAAGTTAATGACTATAAGCAATAAATATTTATTATTATGATAAGCCGTCTATTTGTTGTACGACTATGTTCCTTCTCAATTTGACTACAGTTTTATTGACATACTTTACGTTAATTTCGTAGATTACGTAATAAAAAAAAATTTGCATATAACATTGAAAGCGATACCATTATAGATATTTGATAAGAAGAATTTCTGAAGTCTGATAAACGTACGTGCTGATTGATTGGAATTGTACTCGAAATTATTACTTTAACAACTTACTTATAATTTCCCATTTATATCTATCATATTATGCTAATTTCTTTTACACCTAAAAATTGAACAATAATTTGTCTTTTCTTTATTCGCAAATTTTACAAAAGTCTGAGTATTCGTATGTGCAGAAAATGATAAATTTCGTTTCATCTTTAATGCTATCAGAAAAATAAAAATGAAATCTTATCAGTGATTACATCATTTATTATAATTGAGATTTCAATAAATGATTTATAAAATTTAATGAAATCAGTCAGCAATTAAATTATTTGTCGTAATTAATACTTAGGTTCATAGTGGTAGTTTAAGTCTAGGTATGTAAAAGTTGATGAAATAGATTAATTTATATTCTGAACTCAGTTGACATCCAGATATTTAATCAAGTCAATCTAATAATTTTGGTCAATAGTTGTATCATTTATTGCAATCAATTAATGTCATAAAAGAATGATCAATTTAAAATTGCAGAAAGTCGGAAATGGCTGTCACTATGATTCTGATAACGCGGCAGAATATTGTTGCTGTGATACGGACAGTTGTAATGGCGCAACTGTCACAACTACTGCTTTCTCTCTCCTTATTGGAATTGTTTCATGCGTCATTTGCACCACTTTCATACATATGTTATTCTAATAAAATACCTATGAAAAAAATACCTATGCTAAATTAACTATAAATCACCTATGCTTTTCCAATTAAAAATTTTCGGACTATTTTTATAATTCATTGAGAATTAATTATGAGAAATTTAAAAATTAAATTTTTACTTCAATTTTTTACTTGTATTCTTTGTTGAAAAATTTTACGAATTAGAAGAGAAAAAATCAACATATGTGTGGATGATTAAAGGCGATTTTAGAGTATCAGATTTAAAAGTAGCCTAGGGATACTTTCATCACTTGGGTTAAAGACAATCTGGACAATTTAAGGCCATCAGATTTAAAAGTAGCCTAGGGACACTTTCATCACTTAAGTTAAAGGCAATCTAGACAATCTGAAGCTATCAGATTTAAAAGTAACCCAAGTGACATTTTCATCATTTCGGTTAAAATTATTTTTCATATCATTTTTCCTATTTTCTGTATTAAAATATATCCTTTGTGATTAATTTGAGAGAAATATCCTGATAATATTTAATTTGAAATTATTATTATTCTGATTAAATTTCATGAATTTTTATGGGGTAACTGTTTCTTTTTTTTTCAAATTTCTGATACGAAGGGAAGCATTATAATATGATATCAAATTGCATTTTCTTGAGTAAAGAAATAAAAACAACTTGATTACTCAATTATGGTTTAATTACAAAAGCACATACCAAATAATAAAATATGCAATATTAGATACAAAGTCAAGAGGGGGAAAAGTAAGGATTAATATTATTCTTTTATTTAGGTTGTTTGACTTACAAGAAATCCGGTTTCTGAGTTTTATATCTGTTCAGAGTTTATTGTATCAAAATTTAACGAGAGTCATTCCGGAAAGATTCAACCAGAGTCAAGAATGGCAACTAAACAGGAATAATTTGAATTATCGGTATTCTGAATGAAAGATTAAAAAAAAAAAACGGAACGCATTAAAGGCTTCCTTTGCGTTCATGTCTTGCTAAAAAATAAAAATGATATTACGGAAAAGTAAAATTATATGAGTAATCAATGAGTAAAAATTGCTACTTCCGGTTATCCGATATCGTATACATTTAAAAATGTGACATGTTTTGAAGCGGAAAGAGACTGATTTAAAAGATGACAAAAATGGGATGTCATTTTGAAGAAACAATCGAATCATTTTATTTGATCAGAAAGAAGAATTCTCCGATCGGAAATGTTGTAGTATTTATGTCAACAGTAAAATTAATCAATGATGCTATTGAAATCAGCTGATATACTGATCAATTTTGATAAATGAAATATGTGCTGATAACAGCGCCAACAGTGACGGATAACGTTGCAATGAATCATCGCAGTAATTATCTTAAAAAATGAGAATGAAAATTCGATAACATATTGAAAGATTATTACAACAAACTTTCATCCTATACCGAGACATGACAGTTTAGGGTAATGGCGGTAATTGACATATTTAAATTATTCGATCAATTCACTGGAATGATTGGTAAGATATTGTGATCGTTTTCCATAATGAGATCATTTGATCAAATTCGCTGGGAATACTGCAACAGTATCGAAAATGGAATTGATTTAGAGGAAATTAATATAATCGATAAAAAATTTTGGAAGATATTTAAAGATAAAAGGTGAGAGAATAATGTTGAAGTACATGGAAGTGTAGGAAAGTTCAAACTTTCGAAAAGTTCACTCGGAGGTAAATATAGAAGGATGAGCTGAGGAATCTCGGGAAATCTCTCAATATGCTCTTGTTACTAAGAACAAAATACATATTGAATATTTTGAAAAAAATGAAACGACTAGTAAAATTTTTTAAAAAAAAGAATAAGAGTATAGCGAAATAGTTATGAATATTATATATGATAGTGATTGAGAGCATATCAGCAAAAGATAAGAAAGCAAAAGAATAAATCAAATTGATATAAAGTTTGCTTCATCGATCAAATAAAGGATAGTAAAATAAGTTTTTTAGAAAAAGTTGAAAAATTGATTGGATAAGATAAATTATTCAATCACAACCTGTTATTTTTGTTAACTTATTGTGCATAGGTTTGCAACTAAATAAAAAATTTTCCCCCCGAATTTTTGTTTTTTTTTTATTTTTTTTACTACCGACGATTTTGATGACACTTTTTAGTTGACATGAAAATTGAACAAGTGTACTTTACAGTAAAAAAGTAAATGTTGACTTTTTAGATAAACACTTCACCTGCAAAATGAAGTCATTTGATCCGGAAGCAGTTTTAATTCGTCCGGATTCAAATATGATTTCGTGAAGAATTTTTTTTTTAACCATTTGTTTAAGTAAGTGTATTTAAAGTAGAGTACATAACTAATAAAATTACGTTAACTTAAATTTGATAAGTGCTAAATTATGGAGGGAATTAAAAGTTCAGTAATGAAAAGTAAGGTTAAGATAAGGGAAATTCGATTAAGGTCAAACAAAAAAAAATATAGTGAACTGGTAGGTCGAGCGTTCCAGTGATAAAAAGTAAGGTTAAGATACGGGAATTTTAAAAACTTTTAATAATTTTAAGGGTAGCATTGGAGTGGAATTTTGTATTTATGAAATTTTGCTAATAGTTTAACTAATAATTTCACATCATTTAATTATAGCTTTAAAGACAATGATCATGATGTTCATCGGAAATAAATTTATTATGCTCACTTGGAAATTTATTATGCTCACTTGGTACCTTATAGGTACTAAGCTCACTTATCACCTTATAGGTATTAAGCTCACTTATCACCATATAGGTGTTAAGCTCACTTGTCAATTTATACTTTTTGTTTTCAATTTTGATGGATTATTATAAAAATAACAGAAAATTGAAAAAAAAATGCTAAAAGTCTTACATTTATTTGATCGGTTTTTATTTTAAAATTTCATAATTCTGTCATTTTAACCAAAATGTTTCTTTTATAGTTTTTTATTTCCCTTTTTTTTAAAATTTTTCACTAAAATGTCGTTTTCTTTTTGATTGTCACTTTCTAATTTGTCATTTTTTAAATTTGTTATTATTTTTAAATTTATTACTAAAAAATGTCCCTTTTTCCGATTTCATTTTTGGCAGGAAGAATGTAAAGTTTTTTTTTCTTTTTTTTTACTTCTTTGTTTATAAATTATTTTTTCTACTCGCTCATGTTGCAAATTTTCTATCACTATTTTCTAAATTAGTTCATCAAGATATTCCTATGTTAATTGTATCGATCTATTTCATATTCAACAAACTGATTACATAATCATTGAGAATCATTATCAGGACAATGATATCAGTTCCTATCCAACTCATCGTACTGTTCTTTTTGGTGCAGTATTTTAAGTAGAACTTGACATCGTACTTTATCAGTTATCTTTCAAATATATAACTCCTTATTCAACAAAAAAACATATCAGATAAGTGATATTAGACTGCTTTTGATAATTCCAAAACAAAATTAATTAGAGCAAATTAATTAAAAGTTAAGCTAAAATGAAATTTTTTTCTTGAGCAGAATTATACATTGAAATTATTCTAGTCAATAAATTGGTATTAACGGTTAATTTGCTGCATTTCATTGCAATCAACAATTTTCTTCTGCTTTAATTGAGCAGAAAGTAATATTGTATTCTTACCAATTCTGATTTTGATTTCCGATTTATGAAATTTCAAACTTAAAAATTACTGAGCTCTTATCTAGCAATCTTCTGCGATGCACGAAATTATTGTTATACGATTGTTTTATAAAAGAGAAAATGCACACAAAAATTTGTAATATTTCAGCAAAATTTACTTCTTTTCTCGATACTAATAATAGTAATAATTCCGGAAGGATTTAATGATTTATTACTTTATGACGTAAATCTCATTAATTTTCAATATTTAACTTTAAATTTTTTTTTTTGGTTTGGATTCTTTCATTCAATCGTTAGAAATATATCATAAAGTTGTGATCGGAGAACTTTTGTGAATTTCTTTTCCTCTTTCCAATACTTCTGAATCACATAACTCTACAAGAAGTTAGTGTAATATGCAAACATTTACACTATAAGTTGTATTTGTTCATTTGTCAAAAAAAAAAGAAAAGAAAAAGGAAACAATTCATTGAATAATTTTCGTGTATTTCTTTTATTTAAAATTAAATCTTACAAATAAACTATTGTAAATTAAATGGATGAAATATAAACATATTTACCTTTGATAAAGATTGGAAAAATAAAAGTCAAAGGTTAAAAAATGATAATTTGAAATAATTTTAATAGTGATTTTAGAGAAAATTATAATTAAAGTATTGTTGCCATAACGATTGTTTACTTTATTTTATGCTGTATGTAATTTATAAGAAGTAACTTTGGTGCTGGAAATTTCAAAAGTTTATGAAAAAGAGTGAAACAAGAAAGGAAAATGAAAGTTGAATCGACAATTAAGAATGATAATTGGAGTAAATTGGTCATATCGAGAGGTCAAATAGGTTAAAAAGACCATTATTTGCAATTTGTAATTATTGCAATACACAGATTTCATATAATATCATCACAATAATATGTTTGAAATGTTGAAAGATCGTTTTAATTAATTTCATTTAAGAAATACTGAATAGCCAATTCTGTAATTCGCATTCTTTCGGATGATATCAGTGAAAAAATCATTAAATTGTTAAATTCTTGAGATTATCCGACGATTTTGCTCTATTCCGGATAAATTTCCGGAAAAAAGATTTGCATTTTTAGTTAATATTTAGTCATAGATATGATTAAAATTGATAAATGCTTCGTCTAGGATCAGTTTAGATTTATTAGTTGATGAACAAAGAGTTTAATCTGGAAAGTACAAACGAATACTTTTGATCTTCGGTGCAATTAGCATAGATTATTCTAATTACTTCAATCTTTAGCTCAATGAACTGTTTCAAATAGTTCTGTAATTTTATTAAAATAATTTCTGACGAATGGGTCAGTTATCTTCCAATAGTCAAGAATATGAAATTATTCGGTTATTGAAGTTTGAAATATTTAAAAAGACTTCTTCCATTGGTTTTAATTATTTCCAAAATTTAATTCCAGATCATTTCAACAAATTACAATATTGGATTTTTCTATAAAGTTAAATACTTCAACTATACTAACAGTTAATTTCATATAAAGTTTCATCGCAATTTAAAAATCTTCCATTCAAAGGAGATGAACCATAATATTAATTATTGTCTCATAAAAAATTGCAAACAGTTTTGATGGCATACTGTATCACGTTTTTACATAAGCAATCGTGAATTTAATTTGAAAATTTTAAAAGTTAAAATGTATTTTACCATTTCTTAAATCTTACCAAATGTAAAAATTTTCAACAGCAATTTGTTAAGCAATCAAAAACTTTACATTAAAAAAAAATGCCTTGTTTCAATTTTCTCTTTAAATTAAGCATTTTAATTACAATTTTGAAATTTATATAGCAAACCATTCTTCAAACAAAACAATTACTCATCACTGAACAATTTAAAGAATACATTTTAGAAGGAGGTCAGAGAACGAAAAGTTTATTACCATTTACACTACAATTAATTAGTAAACTACTAGACAAAATTAATTCGTATGGTGGAGCATTATCAGGAGCATCTTTCATTCTTTCATTATTACACCATTTAATTTTAATTTCTTATTTTTAAATCCTTTTTGAACTTAATTATTATTTTATTTGTATTGAAAATGCGAGAAATAAATGAATGTTTTATTTTAAATGAAATTTTATATCAATGCAAAAGTTTTCAATTATGCTAATTACATTAAGCTTCTATAAAATATAAAATTTACAATTTAAATTATTCCGCTAATATCATATTATGTAAATAAATTTATTGCATTTAGCAATGTAATATCAAAAAATTTTTATAATGTATAACATATCACTATGTTCTATAAAATTAATTTTATTTTAAAAAAACGAAAAAAATTTTACGCTGTATTTTAGTATGATTCATAAACAGTTACTATTATTGTAATTATCAATTTCAGATTAAAATTATTTGAAAATTTATTTTAGTAACATTTTCAAACTATCAGCGATTACCTGTAATTACATTATTATGTCTAATCATTAATAATTAATAAACAATAATCAACAAAAAATTATTTTAAAATTCCCTAAATTAATATATTGGAAGGAAATAAAAAGGGAAGAAAAATTGTATATGCTTAATAATAATAATTCATTATTCATTTTTGTTCTGACTTTTCAAAAATATTCCATTTTCTATTTTTTGATGTTTCATTTTGTTGACTTATGATGATTCAATCGGCCAATATTTCCTATCGATGCTTTGAAATCGTAAAATTTCACTCACTCTCTTTTTTTTTTCTCCCTCTCTTATGTTTATTTTTAATTTCTTTTTTAATTCATTTCCCATCCACCTCAATTTATTTCATAATTTTTTGCTTCTTTTTTTTTTTTTTGTTTGAATGAATTATTAATATTTAAACAATTTTGCAAAATATAATTAATTAAAAAAAGAAGAAAAAACGACATCAAAAATATCATAAATATAGTTGAAATCGAATTTCTTTTTTCAGTAATATGAAGCAGAAGAAAAAAAAAAGGTATTCAAATATAAAATTTTTTTCATCTTACTAACAAATTGTTTAAAAATTATTGGCTTTTTTTTTGTCTCCTTGGACTATGATTTGTTAATTTTGATTAATTTGAATATTTTATTGATGAAATTGTAAAAGTATGAAGTAATAGAGACTAATTTTTTTTTTTTTTTTTTGCAGATATTTAACCAGTGAAATGTTTGCATTAGTTAATTCGCATGACCTTTTGATGAATCTGAAAAAAGTTCAAATTTTGCTTAGAGACTTTTTTTTGCAACATTATTTTTAGCATTAGCAAAGGAAAGGTCAAAAGTCATATTTCTTAGATGACTTTTTGCCATTTTATCAAAATTATGAAAGATTTTTGGAAACTATTTGCATTTGAGATATTCATAATACCATCTTGTATTTTCTGCTTCTCAAAATTCCCATATTTTCGTGTATTATTTGTGTCTGTGTATGTGTGTGCATGTGTATGTGTGTGTGTGTTGCGTGTGTACGTGTATGTATGTGTGTGTATGTGTGATGCATGTGCATGGTGTGTGCGTGTGTGTGTATGTATCTGTGTATTATTCATGTGTGTGTATGTGTTATAAGTACAAAGTGAACTTTTACTTTCCTAACAGTGAATTAACAATTCAGTAGAGAAATTTCCCTTTTCTAATTCTATTTTTTTTTTTAAATCTCCTAAAAAACCAAAATTTTTTATGCTTTAATTTAGAAATAAAAAGAGAAAAATAAAATGAAATTTGTATAATATTAAGGAAATTTTGAAATTTCATAAGTACAAAAGAAAAAGAAGTGGAAAATTTTAAAATAACAAATAGAAATTAATTAGAAATGATAGGAATACAAAGAACATTTATCCAGAAATTGGATAATTAAAAATAAATCTTTTCCTTTTCCTGAATTACCTATCTTCTTATTTATTTGAAATTATTGTTTTTTTTCTCATTAAATTTTAAATACTGTTTGTTCTCATTTAAACTTATTAATGACTTAATTAAAACTTCCAAACATTCCTGAAGCATAAATTTAAAAGCCAAAATAAATATAACATAAATTGATGACACTTTTTATATTTAATGAATTTCTCAATCAAATACTACCGTATCAAATTACAATTTTTTTTGTATTTATTTTTTCAATTTTTTGTAAAATACAATTAGCAAATCAAAATATATCCTTTATCACTGAAAATTCCTTTTAATACCTGAACATTCTCTTTTTATCAACATTTAAATAAGTGTTTTACAGTGCTTTTCAATCTCTGATATTCTATTTCATTCTTTAATAGCAGTTGATCTTATAAATTATAACAATCTATAAATCTCTCAATATATTATACTATCAATTTTTCCACTCAATCTTTGTCATCATTTAAACCATTACAATCTTTGACATCTAATAAAGCAATTAATACAATCATAAATCATTATCCACAAGTTTTTTTTTTTTCCTTTTGCAATCCTTAACCATTAGTTATTTCTTGTAATGTCATACTCGTGCTATTTGCAAATCGTTGACAGCACTATTAGTTGACAACATTTTGATTCATCATTAATTTTCCAGTTTCTCATGGAATTAATCCATACAAAAATTGTATTTTTCTCATTCATTCGACAATTCATCATAAATTTGTTAAATTTATTGCATTTAAAAATTTTAGAAATTGAACAAGCTTAAAATCAATCAATTAATCAATCAATCAATCAAGAATCACTTTGTATTTCATTCAATTACAATAGCATCGTTCATCTGTGCATTAATCAATTTCTAATTTTTTGTAAAAACATTTCTAACAGTAATTATTTCATCAAAAGTAATTAAAGAATTCTCAAACAGATGAATCGAAAAAAAAAATTGATGTTGAAAAGTACTCAAGAATTCTTCTTTTTTCTTTTTCTTTTAATTGCTTTATTAGTTTTTAATATTTGTAGGAGAAATACTGCAATTTTTGATATATAATTTTCATTAAATCAATTTTAATTTTCTGATTTCTTATCAAGAATGAGACATCCAAAAGTTTAAAAAGTAAAGAAAAAAACAACTCTGTACACAACAAACTTCCAATATATAATCATTTGATGGTTTACTATCAAAAATATAAATTGTTAAATTCAATTCCGACAAGAAGGAATTGTGCCTTGAAATTAATATTATTATTTTCAAAAACTGTTAAAGAATGTCTATTTCCTTTATTCTTAAAAAGTTTTTTTTTTTTAAAAGATTACTTATGAATTATTATTTTCATTGGAAAGATTGTTTTTGCTAGTTTGAATCTTCTATGAAATATGAACCATCCTTTCTACCATTAAAAATATTCTTTCGTAATTATTTTTCATTATTGCAATTTTTTTTTCCTTTTTAAATTTATGCAAATAAAAATTTGTGTTAACTTATTTTAGAATTATTTAGAAAATAAAAATGAAAAGTGAAAAAATTCAAGGAATTAACATTTCCTAACTTTTCGTACATTTATAAACTTAAATAAGCTAAAGTTAAATAAACGAAATTTGCAGAAATATTTTGGCATATATTGAATATAAAGTTTAATTTGGCAGCATTTTTTAATAAATATTCTTTTTTTCCAATCTCTTTTCTATCCTTTTTCCTTTCAAACTTCATCAAAGACTTTTGAAATTTTTTTACGAAAGTTTGAAAAGTTAAATTTCCATCTGAAAATTTATAAAATTCCATTGTTCTTTTTTTTTTTGGAAGAGAGAGGGAGAGGAAAAGAAAAGATCCAATTATGCAATTATGAAGAGAAATAAAAAGGATATAGTCTGATCATTGGTCTATCATTTTGTTCAAGAGAAGAAAAAGAAGCACTCAAAAATTTAAAGAGGTCTTTTTTTTTTAAATTTTTATGAAAAGGCGTGGATACATAGAGATGTGAAAAAAGAAAGATAGTTTGAAGAAAAGAGAAGGAAGATGAAGGTATAAAGTGAAGATATGTAACGGTAAATGATAGACGATAGTAAAAATGTGAATGATTCATTTTTGAATTTCCAATAAAATGAAAAAAAAAGTTACAACGAAACATTTTTCCATCAAC